TTTTTGTAAATAATCTTTATACAGAATATGATAAAGAAACATTGATGATTAAAGAAAGAATATTGAAAAAACAATGTTCTTTTTAAAAGTAATTTATTTTCTGTATTGAAGGAAGTTCTGCACAGTTATATTTTGTCTTTATCTTTGGTCTAATCTTTTGTGTTTGTTTAGTTATTCGTTAAATATATTTAATGATTTTGCGGACAAGGCGGTATTTTGTACGCGAACAAATTATCTACATAAATATTGTTGTTTGAAATGTCGGACGTGTTATTCTAAATAATATGTCTGTAATCAATTTGAATCCGATGTTGTTGAAAGTCGATATCGATTTTCAAGAAAATGATTTCAGTTTTCTGTCTATTGCGATAAAAGTCAAAAAGCTTTCTTGTTATCACTTGAACAGATCATCCCAACTGGAGAGAGGATCACATTTTATTTTTGCAATACTGTTTGTTATTTGAGTGGCTTTTACTTTTCGTGTTCTGATAACTTCTAATATTACGGATTATATAGTTATCTATCTTGAACAGGTTTGGTGATCATTATTTCAATGTAATAAATATTCTTAACTTACATTCTTTAGATAATTGTCCCGATGTGATCTCTTTTTGCTTAACTTAGTGCTCAGCGAGTGTTTTTTTCAATTAATTCGGATATTTTTATGATATTGTTAATATTATTTACGTTTATAATGTTTAATTACTATAAATAAAGAAATGATAACTGCCGACACATATGTCACTGTTTCTCAATCAACAAGAATACGAAGAAGATAATTTAAACTAATTAGAATTTAAGAATTTTATCTGATAACGACGGTTATCTGCAATTAAATTGTTTCGCAAAAGTGATATATTACAATATAATTGAAAAAAAAATTTACAACCAACATTATGAGAAATTTCTTTATACAGAGTTATTATATGGATGATAACAGTGTTATCTACGATGGTGATCATAATTACTGCTCAGAAGGCTATCTACGAAAATTACAAAATCTTTAGGATTACCCCAACCACAGAAAAACAGCTCACACTACTTCGCAAATTTCGTGATAGAGTAAGTAAATCTTTGAGATATAAACATATAGCTCCAAATATTCAGATTTTCTCTTTTTTTTTCAGAAAAAGTCAACGTTATATTTTATTATTACGATTTACAATATTAATTTCGTGAATTTTAAGTTAATTTATTCTACATTTATATAATTAATGATACATTATATAATAAATTGTAAATTATAATATATAAAACCATAAATAAAATTAAAATTTCGTTTACCACTTTTTAATACCACTTTTTAATTAAAATTACATTCCGATTAATCAAAATTACGCAATTGAATCTTTTTTATAGTTGATATTCTGGGAAGCATCATCCATGAACGTAACAATAAATCATAGTAGTCCTGAACTATCTGCCGCAATTTTATGAAGTGATAACCGAAATCGATGTACCTTATCATCTTCATATTGAGAACATCCAAATGCTAATTGATCAAACAATGCCTCCCTATCGATCAGCGTTTGATTTTAAGAATTACCACAGTCTCGAAGTTATCTACGATAGCATGAATGACCTGGCCAAGTAGTATCCCAACAAAGTAAGGTCGTCGTGGGTGGCAAGATGTATGAGGAACGTCAGATCAAAGGGGTAAAATTTCCTTCAAGGACAATAATCCCGAAATTTTTATTGAAAGTGGGATTCATGCCAAGGAATGGATCTTGCCGGCGACTACTATGTATATCCTGCATCAATTGCTAACCAGCAATAACTCGGACATCAGAAATCTGGCTGAGAGCCACGATTGGTGAGCACATCTTTCCCGTATTTAATCCTGACGAATATGTATACACGCACACCACGGTAAATCTTGTTTTTCCATATTCCACAGAATCGCAAATTAAATTACAAATTAAGATTACTATACATGCACAAAATGAATTTTTCTAAATGCTTTTAGGATCGCCTTTGGAGAAAGAATCGTAAACGACAAGATCTTCTTTGAGATACAGATCTTAACAGGAACTGGTGCTACAAAGTAAGTGCTCATATTTTCTGTAAACAAAACTTTATGATCATCAATAATGTTATAATTAGATACTTTTATTTAATGATGCCAGCAATAACTCGTGCTACAATTCTTATGCCGGAAGTGAACCGTTTTCCGAAATAGAAACAAAGAGCATGTCGCAATATACCCAATCTATTTCCGATCAATGTTATGCATACATCTCATTTCGCAGTTTTAAGTCACTTTTAATGTTCCCTTACGGCCACACGAAAGATCGCGTTGACAATTACGACCAATTAGTAAGATATTTTATTATGCAATATTTCCATTGCGCAAGAAAATAGTCATCATCCTAAAATTGACGTGTTTAAGTTGTAAATATGTACACAGATGGCGAATACAAGTGGCGAAATAAGAGGCTTACTTGTAAAACATGATACACATGTGAATGTATGTTCAATATAAAATTCTACGTCAGTACCTTGATAGCACAAATTATTATTGCGATAATGCAACTTTGGTGCCGTGTGCAACTACGTATTTAAGTCAATGAACATCATAACATCGGTAATTGCCAGTACTTCCATTTTATAGGAAGGTAAGCGATTTTTTTTAAAAGATTCATACTTTATATTATATAAAGAATTAAATATTTGTTGCTTAAATTTTGTTACTCGTTCTCTCTCTTTCTCTCTCTCTCTTTCTTTCTATCTCTCAAATTACGATTAGTAACTTTACTTATAAATAAATTCTGTAAATTTAAAGTTGCTTTTTAAAAACTGTCTTTTTTTAATAAAAAAAATATTTATTATAATTGTGTCGCGAAAAGACAAAAATTAAAGTTGATTTGCACATTAAAATTAAAGGAAACTGTGATCATCATGTGGAAGATAATAATATTATGCACGATCGTGGGCCTGGTGGCCGCCGAGCAGGCTACTTTTGACAATTACAAGGTCTTTAGAATTGCTACAACTACAAAGAAGCAGGCTGAATTGCTCAGCCAGTTGGGAGATGTTCCTGATGGAGTGAGTAGATGTTTCAAACATAAAGAAAAGTATACAGGCAAATTAATAACTTTTTACAAAATTCTAAATTTTTTATGAAATACGTAACATTTGAATTAACCATATTAACTAAAGTTCGAAAAAATCAATTTCATAAAAGTAGCATAATGTACACAAATTTCTACAATTTATTTTACCATCAGTTTTACCTACAAATTTAGCAAATTATTTATTATTAAGTAAAATTTAAAGAAGATCTAAAAAGTAACATATATATAACTAATTTTTTAAACTAAAATTGTATTGTAATTAAATAAACAATATTAAACATCATTTACAGTTTTCCTTCTGGCAACCACCGTCCGTGAATAAACAAACGGAACTTATGGTTGCCCCGCACAAGCTGCCTGAATTCTACGAAATAATGGCGCAGATTCAAGCACCCTATGAAGTTTATATTGAGAATGTTCAGGCATTAATCAATCGGGCAGCGCCGAGGGTTGCAGTGACGACATTTGATTTTAAAAACTATCACACTCTCGACGTAATTTATAAGAATCTAGATGACTTGGCAAAGCAATATCCCGATAAAGTACAAACTGTCGTGGGCGGCAAGACGTATGAGGGACGTCCAATCAAAGGCGTCAAGGTTTCCTTTAAACCCAACAATCCTGGAATATTTATCGAGGGTGGCATTCATGCCAGGGAATGGA